AAAGAGAGAAAGAGGCATGTGTTTTTATATTACTTTCGATTAATTTCAACAGGAAAAAAGGTGAATTACTTTCTTTCATTGATTAATAATATTTTATTATGTTCTAGAAGATGATATCCTTTCTACGAGCAATAAAAGTAATGAAAAAATAAAAGACGAGCAGCAGTCGTGGAAAGCAGTTAGAAAGCAATTACAAGGAGTATCAACTTTAAACTTGACTGAAATGAAATTACAAGAAAAATCGATTATATAGTTTCTGAACTAATTTTTTTTTATTTTTTATTAGCAGAATTAAGATCTAAAATGATCCAAAATCTATCTTATTTTATCTTATATTTCTTTTTATTCTTCCTGAAAAACTTACTGTAAATAGTGAGCATATGAGTTTGCACCACATCTTGATTTCTGAGAGCGTGACATGTGTAATTACCAGCATATTCCAACTGCACGTTTGTCAGATAGAGACTACCATCATTGAATACGCGAATCTACAAAGAAAGTTCGTATTATCTTAACTTTTTCAATTTCTCTCAACATTAATACAACTTTTTCATTATTTAAAGTTTTAAAGAATAATATCGGTCTGCTAACCATTGCATAAATTTTTCTAATTATTACTTAAAAATAAGCAAAAATTTTGATTTTATTTCCTAAATTCTTTGAAAAAAAACGTAGAATAAAAAATAAGAAGAGAGAGAAAAATATTTTTCAAATCAAAAAATTATTTGTTAAAAAATAAAAGTGTATATATATATAAATTCTCTCTCTTTCATTTTCCTTAATCAATACTTTTATTAATAAATCTATATAAATAAATAGAGATTTATATATATATATATATTTGCATTTTTTATTTTCAGATAGTGATCTCTCACAAACCGATATATTATATGCCGAAGATTAACGGCGGGGGATCGAATTGTCATTTGAGTGGGATATACCTCCGGCTCGCTAAGGGTCTCGACATCCGTGCCGTAACGTCGCCAGATCAGGGGCGGGGGTGGTGTTCCGGTGACATCGCACTTAATCTCCACGTTGTCTCCGACTCGCGCGGATATGTGATTCACCTCGAGGGATTTGTCCAACGATACCACCGATACACCTGTCATCAGATTAGATTCGCCTTCGCAGGTATGTATTATGTATGTGTATATATTTTGTATTTGAACTAAATTGAATCGTATTTGCGCGATGCATCGTTGCACAAACTTTGCATAATAATTCCTCGCGGCCGTTTATATATACATATATGTATATGTGCGCGATGGCACTCGCGCGTATAGTCTGACAATTTACGCTGATGCTATTGTCCATGGACAATAGCGTCCCGGGGAGACCATTATAACGTGGATTAGCATAAGAAAATTACTCGCCGATGATTAATCGCTACGCCAAACCGAACTAACCGCGAGGATAA